AGTCAAAATTCGCACGAGAAGAAGCAAATCTTTCATTTTTGACTTGCCTCGTGCGCGCGATCCCATTCCTGCAACGCTTGCGCGATCGATGCAAGTTCGCCCACTCGCTTCGCAGTCTTCGCGTCAAATGAGTCCGTCAATTGGGCGGAAAGCCTGGTATGTTCAGCCGCCAAGGAGCGGGCCCGGGTTAGTAACGCCGGTGAGAGATGAGAACCTGATGGAAGATTAGCCCATATGTATGCAGAAGACCCTTCGCTTTACGTAGCAGTCAAAGTATCCCTACTCGTGTTCAAGTTCCGCTGTTGTGAGATGGCCCTATGGCTCAATGTGGTCCAAGCAGATCGTGCAAGACATCGAGAGCATATCCATGAGAAGCCAATCATTGTGAGTTGAATCTGAGAGAAAGAGCGGTATGAAAGAAAGAGCCCAATCTCAATGCTTTGCGCGCGTTATGAAGCGCGGGCTAGGTGATGGAACTATGGCCGAAAAAACTGGCTCGATTAGAACACCTGCTTTTGCAGACCAGGTAGTAAGTGCCTCTTCAATCACACTGCTTCTGAGTTGCAACCCTTATACACTGACTAAGTAGGGAGCTCCCGCCTTCAAATTTGCGGATTTCTGGATGTGTATTTAGAACTTGATATACTTATTCATCCACCGGGTTTCATCACGTGAATATATTACAATTTCAATACAGTATTCTGTAACGGGTCTGTAAAGGCCAGACTGGAGGTTAAGCATATTCTAGATGATAGAATATCTACGAAACTTGGTCGAATTGTATATAAAGAATGCCTCACTATGTAACTCGCCTAGCGACCTCTTTCAAGGTCCTGTTGCTGTGCTGCTGTCCTTCAGATTTTCCATAGTTCAAGCCATCTACCTGGCTTATTCACAGCTCGCACTTTGAAGCAGGTTAAGTGCTGCTGAGTGAATTCTATTATGCGCTGTTTGTCTAAGACTCGTGTGATGCCATAGGTCTCAACGATATCTTATGGGTTGAACTGCCAACATGCTCATTACTTTGGAGTCTTTCACAGTTTTCCTGGCCTGTTTTTCAGTTGCTTGTGGCCTCCAGTCTGCGGAGATACCCCCTGATACTCCTCTGTCGTCTCTGGTCGCTTCGGCAAAAGCCCATCTTGCTAGTGGTTCTGCACGCGATGCTCTGCTCTACTTCGATGCGGCCGTCTCGCGAGATCCAAGCAATTATCTCACAATCTTCCAGCGAGGTGCTGCTTATCTGTCTCTTGGACGAACTGCGCAGGCACTAGACGATTTTGACCGTGTCCTCCAGCTCAAACCGGACTTTGAAAGCGCACTCCTCCAACGAGCTCGCCTCAGGGCCAAAACTGCTGACTGGGACGGTGCGCTGCATGACTTTGAAAGAGCTGGCAAGAAGCTTTCGGAGGAGTATAGAGAAACCCAAGAGGCACGCGATGCCGCCTTCCAGGCCTTCGACGCGGAGAAACAGGGTGCGTGGGACGATTGTGTAGGTCGAGCAAATACAGCGATCCTTAAGGCAAGCACATCGCTTGGTTTACGGCAAACTCGGGCACATTGTCGCTTCGAGAAGGGTGAAGTGGAAGAAGGTATCAGCGACCTTGTTCATGTCCTGCAATTGTCTCCGGGCTTGATCGAGCCTCATTTGCAAATATCGTCAATGTCATTCTATGCCCTAGGCGACACTGAACGGGGTATCTCGCAAATTCGCAAATGTTTGCATTCGGATCCAGATTCGAAAGCATGTGCTCAGCTTTACAAGAAAGAGAGGCAGCTAATGAAGAGGCTGGAGAAACTACAAAAAGCGATGGATTCACGAAAATTCAACAACGCTATCAACCTACTTGTAGGTGTAGGGGATGAGAAGGGTTTGCTTGATGAGGTCAAGGGCGACTTCGAAAGTGCGAGAGAGTCTGGCCACATCCATCCTGCAGCCCCGAGCAGTTTGCACTCATCCTTAGTTGAACGGACGTGCGAAGCCTACCGTGAGGTCAGTGGTTCCAGAAGATCATGCTTTCTATTTGCCGTAGCTGACTGGAGATGCTTGTTTACAGGTTGGTATGCTCAAACGGGCTGCTCCTTACTGCACCGAAATTCTCCGGCTGAAACCACATTCATTGGCTGCCCTTCTATTCAATGGTCAGATGGCGCTCGACGAGGAGCGTTTCGAGGACGCTATTCGCACCCTCAACGAAGCCAGAGAACATCACCCGGGATCTCAGGAAGTCCAGACGCTTATGCAGAAAGCACATGTGTTATTGAAACGCTCCAAGCATAAGGACTATTACAAAGTTCTGGGCGTCAGTCGTGACTCAGATGAGCGCACAATCAAAAGAGCTTATCGGCAGTTGACAAAGCAGCATCACCCTGACAAAGCCGTCTCGCAGGGCGTCTCAAAGGAGGAAGCTGAGAAAAAGATGGCCGCTATAAACGAGGCATATGAAGTTTTGTCGGACCCCGAACTTAGAGCACGGTATGACAATGGCGACGACCCCAACGACCCCGAGTCGCAGAGGGGAAATCCCTTCCAGGGAAACCCCTTTGGTGCCGCCGGCAGCCAGCAATTCTTCTTCCAGCAAGGCGCGCCACACTTCAAATTCTCGGGTCAAGGATTCAACTTTCCCCGAGGCTTTCCTTTCCGTTAGCATATTTCGTATACCACTGACCCTGCAGCTCATGGTGCAGTCTACCTTATTACACATCTCTGCACTTTCGCGTTGCCCGAAAAGGACGCTACCATTGTCCCGCCAATTAGGATATCAATCCCTCCTCCCTTTTAATTCGGAATTGCAAAGTGTACGTACTCAGTCAGATATGAAGTGTGATACGGCATTGAATTCTCCTTGTGAATCTGAATTCTGTCCGCTCCACCTCTTATCCCTCCCGTTTATTATCTTTCTTTTTCTCCTTTTCATAACGGGAGTTTTAGATTATCACTAGCTAAGTGAATTAACACAGCAGGGGTGAGGGGGGTTGTTAGGCTGATCGCTTCGGCGCATCCGTCAATGGCACATAGCTAACCTGGAAAATTTTCTCCTTGTGAACAGAGCCATCCTCTTTCTTGTCAACAACCCATATGTACTGTCCACCACCGAGTCCAAGGCTACTTAGGGTGCCATCGTCATTTTCCACATCAACGGGTATGAACAAGCGTCCTGGGGCACGTAACTGCTCAATGAGAACCGGGTGTAACTTGTCTGCCGCTGCGCCCACATGGATTGCATCGTAAGGGGCCCCTTCCCTCCAGCCAAGCCGACCATCGGCGGTGATGAATTTCACTTTTCCGGAATTTAGGAGAGTGCGACCTTGCTCTGACTTGCTCATGTTCGCCCGGGCCAGGTCAACAAGTTCCGGGATATGGTCCACTCCGATAACCTGACCACTGGCATCATTGGTAGACCTATCTGTAACAAGATTGGCGAGAACATGCGTCAAATAACCGGATCCTGAGCCGATATCCAATACCCGGGATCCGGGCTTGAGGAACTCAACTAAGTATTCGCAAGCATGGCCATGCATATGTGGCGCCGAGATCGTCGCTCCATGTCCGATAGGTTGCGGCGAGTCGGAGTATGGCCTCGAGGGCGCGTAATGGGCGCGATCAACCTTGGAATTTCAGTGTCAGAATATCAGGCAGTGAACGGTTTTATTCTTGGGCTACTGAAGTGGAGGATGCTGGGTGGTGGCAGCGGTAGAAGCAAAGTGATGCTCACGCCCATCATAGCTTTTTTCACCCGATCATTTTTAATCAGTCCTTCCTTGGAGAGGTTCTCGATCAACTCAGCATTTGTGGTGCCGGAACAGTACCAAGCCATTGATGACTGCTTCCTTGTAAATTTTCTCAGCAGTGTGGTTGTCTTTATGTGCCTTTTCAGCATTCAGAGGTCGCCTGTTAGATTTGAGAGAATATCCCACTCAGACAACCACGTATGATGTTAAAGTGATGGGTAGAATGCGCGACTCCAGAGAGGTCACCTGCCGCGGGAGATTCCCATTATTATGTCAATATTACGGAGTGCCTCATGTGCGGAGGCCATTGGAGCACCATTGCATGGGTGGAAAGGCTCTTGCCGGTGTGCATCAACCTCACTAATGCGTCATTAATGATGATAAGTAGATACATGCTTTTTATTGCCCATTGCCTCTATGGGCTTACTGGCTTTTCTGGCCTATCGGTACATCAAGAGCAGGTATGTATGAAGGATCTTGATCTACATGATTGACAGGCTGATTGTTGTTGTTTCTGGACTTTACTTTCCGTATACCTGCAGACTATTTGCTTTCCCAATTTAAGTGATACATGCTTCTATGTACTCTTTGTAGAAGGATGTAGCTTCACTTGTTAGCCTACATTGTATCTATTCATATGCTATGTACAGTGTACATAGCGTAACTAATATCTGGGTGTGTGACCCACGCCATGTCTAGATATAGAGAGGTACATATATATATATATATTTATAAAACAACACGGACGGCAATACTGTACTGGGTAAGCAGCAGTTATAGATCAATCATTTATACCATTTAAATTACAAGCAAAGTCCATCTGACAACACAGACGCGACACAGATTTCTAATTACCATCACAGAATAACCATACCTCTTCTGTCTGCAACGCGAATACTCCCATACCCCCCATGGGCTTAATTAGTTAAGCCTCGAGTCATGATCACATGGATGGTGTTATATAACTCTGTTCCCAAATCCACCAGAGTAAACGTCACACTCCCAAACAATCAAGCGCTCAAAGTGGAATCAGCTCACCAAATCAGATAGGACCAGATGAAAGACCACAAGGTAGTTCCAGACACTCAGGTCGAGGTTGATACAATTATACTTGACTATCTGCTGTGCACTGTCATCAACACGTTCCTCTGCACACAAGAAAGAGAGAAGCGATGGCACTGCAAGGATCAGAATACCAACTGGTTGATCCAAACTATCAATAGTATGTTGGAATACAAGCACCGTCGTAAGCACCAAAGGCTGTGCTGACCATGGACCCCATCTCGTCGTCTATCGCTCTCACAGCCCTGGCCCCGACGCTGATACATGCCGAGACAATGTCCCAGGACATGCGCATCAAGCTTCAGCTTCTCGAATTCATCACTACATGCAACCAGAATCAATATCATAGCACAGCAGCAAACAATCAAACACCACCACATGGACTTGGAGAGCAGAAGGAAGGATCTGCGCTCTCGACTGATCGTCAAATATGCCCACCACACTCGAAACCCCTGGCCCAGAGACCACACATTGATGCGAACAACGACCGTACCCAACCCACACTGGACATCGGTCCTGCCATCGCTTATGCATTCATCTCCCTGTGCATCGTCGCAAATGACCATTTGTCCGACACCAACTGGGCCGATATTGCAGCCCAGCTTATGCTAAAAGCTGCGTCCGAGAAACATGGTTCTCATGGGAGTACAACGCCCGACATATTTTACGAATTGATAGCCCAAGCACCAGAGACGGTTAAAAAAAGGCCCGAATGGCAACGAGTGGCCGATAAGTACGAAACTTACCTACAGCCACCGCTCGGGGTTCTCCCGTCCAGGGACTTTGTAACCGCACTGAAACGCCTGCCTACGCATCAACTTGGAACCATGATTACCGAGTTCCTGTTTGATCTCATGAGGCGCCTGAACCCCCCGGTTCTGTTACAGCTTGAGAGAGGGAAGCTCTATGGACTGAGCCGAGCGGAAACACAGGGGCTGAAAACCAAGGTTGGATTGCGATGATATTACGTCTGGCATAAAGACTACAACCAACATAGCGCGGTTCTCACTTTGAGCGCATGAACTACAATTCATAACTTATGCCAATAGCCGAACAAAGGTCTCGGGGCAATTCGAACGAAGTGTATTGTGAATGCCAAGTATTTTACAAAAAAAGGAGGAGCAGTAGACACCCTTAGACGGACTTAAAGGCCACTAGCCGAGCAACATCCGACGAGGATCTTCAATGTATTCCTTGACCTGAAGGAATCGTAATCAGCGGAATGTGTCAAACAACGAAGAAAGATCAACGAACCTTGACAAGGAAAGTGACTGCCTCCCGTCCATCCAAGAGTCGATGATCATAGGTTAGGGCAAGGTACATCATCTGGAAACGTTAGCGCCTGACATCAAGTTGGGGCATTATGGCAATGCATACTGGACGAATTTCCACTTTACCGTTCACAACTGCTGGCCGGTCCTTGATTGCATGGAGTCCAAGAACAGCTTTGAAAAGTCAGAATTCGGTCCGAAAAGAACGATGGAGAGAACACAGACCAGTCTGGGGCAAGTTGATGATCGGAGTGCCCATCAAAGAGCCGAAAACACCACCCTAAAACAATGTCAACGACTTTATCACTTCATGAATCATACTGCTTACGTTGCTAATGGTGAACGTGCCACCAGCCATATCCTCGATTGTCAACTTGTTGTCCCGCGCCTAAAAACATATCAGTCGCACAAGATGCAAGCCTGTCGCATGATGCCACTGACCTTCTTGCCAAGGTCTGCTATGGCCTTTTCAATTCCGACGAGGTCCATGGTTTCAGCGTTACGGACGACAGGTGTCACAAGGCCCTTCTCAGTAGCAACGGCCACGCTGATGTCAACGTAGTCGCGGTAAACAATGGTATCACCACCATTGGGGCCTTCGATTGATGCGTTAACGGCGGGGACGTCTTTCATAGCTAGGACGCAGGCACGAGAAAAAGCGCTCATGAAGCCAAGCTTGACGCCGGTTTTCTTCAGTACATCATCTTTGTAGAGTTTCCGAAATTCCATGAGGGATGACATGTCAACTTCGTTGAAGGTAGTGAGCGAGGCAGCGGTGTTCTGGGACTGCTTCAGGCGCTCGGCTATTCTCAGCCTCATTCTATTCATTTTCACCTATTATCCACAAGAAGTAACAGAAGAGCCGCGAGTTAGCGAGTGTCAGAGAGACAATACAGACGTTGAAGGGAACTGTAAACGCACCCTGCGTTCCTCACGACCTTCGAAGCTCGGTTTGACGTCAGAAGGAGTCTCTGACTTAGGAGCAGGGGCCTGAGGCTTGGCAGTAGGAGGCTGTTCAGGCGGAGGCGATGGAGCTTTGGGGGCCTCTGACGGCTGTGGCTTGTTGGACTCAGCAGGAGGCCGCTTCTCGACATCTGCGGCCTCCTTTGGCTTCTCAGTAGCTGTCTCCTCTTTTGGCCCAGGAGCGCCACCTAATTCGAGTTTGATCAAGTCCTGGCCAACCGTCACAGTGTCTTCTTCGTTCACGAGGAGCTCCTTAATAGTCCCAGACTCAGGCGCATTGACCGACACGTCGATCTGCAATGGGTTGGCAAAACTTTTAAGCAATATGGACGGTATGTGACATTCGCTGCAACCCTACCTTGTCGGTCTCAATTGTAGCGATTTCTTCGTCCCGCTCAACGTAATCGCCCACCTCTACCGAACGGTGAGTTAAAGATTAGTAGACGGGTCAAGAGACCTACGCTTCGAGAATTGCTTCAATGTACCCTCGGTGATCGATTCTGCCATCTGAGGGACCTTCACTATGGTATCAGCTGCAGCGAGATCAGCGAAGAACGTCATTAGAAACTAAAGCAAATTGCGATACCGTAAGTTCTGATCTGATAGCCGCCGAGGCGGGCGAGACTGCTCCGGGGTATATTGGCTCTATGGAATGTCGACGGTCAGCCAGAGCAGCTAAATGAGTGTGAACCTCCGATGTCCTTACCCCGAGGACGGAGCATGAAGCAAAACCGCGCCAGACTTATGCCTTCTAAGCGCCAAAGAGGTAATACTCCTGCGAGCACCAATGCAAGGCAAGCGGGAGCATTGAGCTGTTCGAGGAATAGACCTCAGGTGTAGCTCTGACAGACGGTGAAATGGTAACCTAGACGCCATATTTCATCCGATTTGATTGGGTAGGTAATCAGAAGTTAAGGAGCAGGAGAATCTGGCACGATTGTCTGGTACGAGTAAAGGAGGAAACGTATGGCCCAGAATAACCTACTGAAGACCGGTTCAATACGTCTTCACTCGACGTTGCAGTACGAAGGTCCAGGATAGCAGAGTGACGGAACTTTAAGTTAGCGCAGTGACCAGGGACGAAAGCTCGAGCCCGGGCCGAAAGAACCGGAATTTCCCTCAGCAACACTACGCACATCACCTGCGTTCCATGCGACCGGTGGATGACGGAGTATTATTGTTACGCTTGTTCGGCTTTCCGTAAAGACCAACACGGCAGATTCGGCGCACCCTATCAAATTCACCAGGTACACATCTCATGAGAAACTGCCTTGTAGTACGTGGTCAGGATCTGAACAATCACTAGAAATTTACAAATTTATTCTTCAGCTAGCGTTCTCTCTCTGCAGTCGTTGTGCCAAGTCTCAGGGTCTTCTTCCCCTACGACATTGACAGAGAGTAATCATGTCTGCTAATACCGTTGCGTAAGTTGCTCTCAGAAGGAAGAATAGGCTGCTTTGCTAATCTCAACTTCGCCTTTCAGGTCACTCTACCGACGGAGTCTCAAGCTTGCCCTTGACTGGGCAGTTCACAGACACGTATGGAGAGGACAAGCTGTGTATATTCGGTCCCTGTTTGAGGCAAATAAGGACGTCCGTGATCCTCGTCAACAAAGAGTAAACTCCCTCTGGCCCCAGCAACCGTCTAGCCGTTGCACAACGCCGAGTCATTAGCTTATACGAACGAATTGGGCAGGTGCTACTCCGCGAAACTGAGAAATTACTGGAAACTTGGAAACACCCGGATCCATACCGCGCACCTACTGCCCCCGGTGGTAAGTCTGATAAGTTAGAAAAAGGCCGCATCATGCGCAATTGGCTGATAATGTCTTCCAGGCAGTAAATACGAGAGAAACCTTCCTGCTCGGCAGCTACCTTGTATGTTACACCTTTGGTCTGTCAATTTTGCCTCGATTAACATACGTCTTAGATGCGTCTCAACATGCAGATGCCCACTAAGCTTGGACGGCGTACCAGATCCATGTATTTGCGTCAATCAGACGAGTTCACAATGAGTTCCCTACTCGAAGATAGACATGGCGTTCTAGTAAGGTACTTCGAAACTTGTACCGTGGACGTTGCTTTGAACAATTATGTTATAAGTGCAGAAATGCTTGAGTGGCGTACTGTAAGAACGACGGAAAGTACAGGCCCTTATGTCTACTTAGCGTCAGATTTACTGAGATTCCCGTCGTCTCCGAAAGACAAATTTCCATTAGAAAAGCTGTCGGTATCATTCAATGCCCGTAAGCATAATGTACAACCATAAATAAAAGCATGAAAAACAGAGCCATAATTGTGCCCAGTCCAGAACCCCGTTATCACATCATGAGAAACCAAAGCACGCCGATTGAGAAAACCCGAACAGGAAAGAAAGAAAAATAGGACAATTAAAGCTCCTGGCTAGGACCCTTTCCACTCTTGGGAGTCTTCTTGGGTAGAAGGTCTGGAAATTGGTTAGAAAATATAGCGAAGACGAAACCGAAGTGCGAAACTTACTTTGGTGAATGTTGGGCAAGACACCACCCTGCGCAATTGTAACGTGGCCAAGCAGCTTGTTCAATTCCTCATCATTGCGAATGGCAAGCTGGAGATGGCGAGGAATGATACGAGTCTTCTTGTTGTCACGGGCAGCGTTGCCAGCCAACTCCAGGATTTCAGCAGCGAGATACTCCAAAACAGCGGCCAAGTAAACCGGAGCACCTATACAAAGGCATTATGGTCAGAACCGCAAGAACAGAAACAATGAGCTAAATCGGGTCAAAGACTTACCAGCACCAACACGTTGAGCGTAGTTACCCTTGCGCAGCAAACGGTGAACACGACCGACGGGGAAGGCAAGTCCAGCCTTCGAAGAGCGCCTAAATTCGAGATGTCAACATGGTTCGAAGGTTCATGGGAAACAGGGTTGTCTTACGACTGCGCGTTCTTGCTGCCGCTGGCTTTGCCTCCGGATTTGCCTCCAGTCATTTTGTCTGATAAAGTGGTTAAGGTTAAACTGTTGTAGTGGCTTCGGTGGAGTTGATGGTTTTCAAAGCGACGCGGTGGACGTGTAGTAGATGGACAGTCGTTGAGGTAAACCAAAAGACTGGGTGGTCAGCGCGAGGAAAGCCAGGAGATTTATAATGACGCGCTCAGGGTGACGTTGGCCTGCCCAAACGCCTTTCAGATCACCCTCTCGCTTAGCGGGGCTGACCAATCACCAAAAAGATCATGGTCCAGTGCTCCAATAGCTTGTGTGAGCTACGATCTGTGTGGCCTAGCATAGTGTTGGGGTTCCAAAGCAAGTTAAGTGCTGTAATATTTCAGTGTAATGATTATTACATCCGTCTTGGCATGGCTTCGCCCTAGTGTTTTTATTACTTGAACATGTTTACCTTGCTTTAATCATACAGATCATACCAAACCCTGACCGTATTGAAATTCTGTCTCTTTCGCCTACTTCAGATCAACTGGGGTTTCGCGGGCTGGTATAAGTAGCGCGCCTCCCTCGTCACCGCGTCTCCATCATTCTCATCTTCCTTCTCAATCCATCTGCACAACCGTTCGAACGTCAAGTTTTCTCAACTCAACCACGATCTATTCTCTCAAACTCTACTTTGTCGATTCCCTCTTTCGATAATCTTCTACTCACAAAAATGCCTCCCAAAGCTGCCGAGAAGAAGCCTAGCACTGGTGGCAAGGCGCCCGCTGGAAAGGCTCCTGCTGAGAAGAAGGAAGCTGGCAAGAAGACCGCCGCTGCTGCCACTGGCGACAAGAAGAAGCGTGGCAAGACCAGGAAGGAAACCTATTCCTCCTACATCTACAAGGGTAAGTAATGCTACTGATGATATTTGGTGCGGAAGCTTACCAGGGTGCAGTTCTCAAACAAGTTCATCCCGACACTGGTATTTCGACTCGTGCCATGTCTATCCTGAACTCCTTTGTCAATGGTATTTTCAACACGAAAACATTTGAAACCAAGTGTATTCTAATCCATTACAGATATCTTTGAGCGCGTCGCCACGGAGGCGTCAAAGCTTGCTGCTTACAACAAGAAATCGACCATCTCGTCGAGGGAGATCCAGACTTCGTGAGTAAAGCCCTTATCCACTATATGGATTAGACTAATTCCTTTTCAAAGTGTTCGGCTCATCCTTCCTGGTGAGTTGGCGAAGCACGCCGTTTCGGAAGGCACTAAGGCTGTCACGAAGTACTCTTCTTCTGCCAAATAGGCATGTCGCTTCTTGCTTCTTTTGCCTTTGTTTGTTTCTCGGGATTGTCATTTTTACTGCCTCCTTATCTTAATGGTTTTGAGGCGGTGGGTTACAGGGTGTTTGAGGATCTTTTAATGTGTCATGGGATGGTTTGATATTTTTTCCTTTTTTTCCCCTTTTTTCCCTCTCCTGATGCCCTTTTGGGTTGAATGTGTTCATGGTTCATTCGCGACGAGAATGCGGTGTAACATAACTCGGATTTTGGGGCTGGTTGCACAATTTTCCTTCCCCTACCATAAATCGGAATCTCATTTGCTTATGCAACATATTCTTGACAGTCGTCTCGAATTGGTGGGACTAGGCATAAATTGAATAGCGATTCCACATTGAGCCTTTTGTTCGAAGTTCCATACTTGGCATATCACGGCATTCGCTGTTTCAATCATCATCCAAGACCTCTACCTCATCGATCGCCCCTTCACGGCCCTGGAAGACAGCAGTGTCTGATTCGCTGAGCACATGTACAATAGGTTTCCCCTGAACAGATACCCCGCTCTTCCAGTGTGCCCAGTCTTCTCTGTCTTTTATAATGAAGCCGATAAGCATGCTCGGATCCATGTCTCGAATGTGGATTCTCCTGAGGCGTCGAGTATGATAGGTTTCTATCTCTTCATCTGTGTATCGTTCATCGATATTGCGCTGTGGCAACGCTGGGCGAGTCTGATGGGGGTCAAGGTAAAATAGGTGCGAGCCTTGAACACCGACGAAGTAATGCGATGCTGATGGGCGTCCACTGCAGATTTGGTCACCACTGGTCCAGGAATCTCGGATCTTTAAGTGACAACGTACCCAGCTATTCCTACGGATTGGGGGAGTTGCAATGTGGTCTTTACCGCGTCCCAGTACACGGGAGTAATACGATCGATTCCCAGTCGCGTCCCAATTAATATCAGTGTTGGTCTGAATGACCCTCTCTCGTCGTTGGCAGCATCCAGGAATTTATCTTCATGCACATCTCCTGTATCATCGGTCATGTAGACACCAAGATTGAGGCTTCCATGTTGAGACACAAGGGCCCTAAACTCATATGTGAGCTACGCATATGGCCCAAATGTGATTGCGACGTACTGTATGCATCTGGCGGTCGCGGAGGGCCCAAACCATTCCCCAGGATGTTTGTTACAGGACTCGGCACCATGCTGGACAAATCGATGTATTGAGAAAGGTGCATCCGGGTGATCTGCAAACTGTAACAGTAGCTGAGCCTCCCGATCAGTGTCGATTCCTCGACGCCAACCTGCAGGCACGTTAGCTCAATGCGCCTTGAACGCCGGTGACAGTGTTGACGTTGGTTGTTACCTCGGCCAAATAACAATATGGACATTGCGTTAGCCAGGAGGCTCTGCCCTGACCTTATCATGCAACCCCATCCCGTGTCCGATGTAAATCCGTGCTGGTCAACGAGCTGACTTCTGAGTCGCACGCTCAGTGTCATTGCGGAGAACGCATCCTGATTGATAGGCTTCGGTATTGGGGGGAAGTTCGATCTGTACGTAATCCAGATCCTTGATTCGAAGTCGTGAAGGAACGATTCAGGCCAACCCTGTTCGTCTAATTGGCCCGGAGTTGTAGCCTTTGGGACCAGCTGGTTTGGTCCTTCTTCGTTTGCCAGTCGCTTTGATTCGGGCGTTGCTGTGGATGCATGAGCCCAAAGAGGGACAACGACTTTTCCATCTGGCGTGGCTTACCGGTGCGTCTATTGTCTCTTTCCATACCATCCGTTGTATATTTGGTTCCCAGACACCAGATGGGGTCTCCAGGTTGGTCGTTCCTGGGTGCAGGGTCCCAGATATACTGTATAATTCGCTTGCAACGTTCCATATCTACCCCATTCATTTTGAATGGCGCCTTGGGAAGGTCCGTATGCCGGTCTCTGCGGTGTGCTGGGGCGCTCTAGCCGACCAGTTTGCTCTATATTGTTGGTATATGTTTCACGTCAACGTTGGTTTGCTGCCTGTGCACATCAGTATATGAAGGTTCACCCCGTGGCCTACTATTGTCGAACTGGTGTGGCTGTGTAGGGACTATACATACAACTTTGTATGATCATCCGTTGTTGCTATGATGATCTATGGGTAGCGGTGGTTTCAGTGATTGTTCTCTTAATGAGGGGTTCCGTCATACAGCATCAGTCACGAGACTATTATATACGTGCAGCACAAATATATATATATATTCTCTCGACTGCCGTAGCGGGTGTGGTATGTTACAGTCTAAACCCACGACCATCTACTTGACCACGAGGACATGCAATGACAACCTACGATGGCTACATAGGTAATGACCTATAAAGATATACGAGCATCGAAAAAAACACAGTAACAAGACTTCCGTCATATGGAGGCTGCCACCAAGGATAAGGATATGATGATAAGCACGTCACATGCATACGGCACATACACCGCCTTCGATGTCAGCGGAAGACAGACTTGGTAAATATTGACTCCACCAAAGTTCCAATTTTTAAGAGAACCCAGCAGCCGAGGTTTTTTTTTTTTTTTTTTTTTTTTTTTTTTTTTTTTTTTTAACATATAAGAACCGTGTGGAATACATACAGAAAAAGTACAATGACGGCATGCTACTCAGTGTAAAGGAGGCAATCGACATTGAACCGAAGAGGGCATACACAGAGAATCGATCTCAGAAAGCACTATTGCCGAAGGCAAAAAGGGTGGAAGACATGGCTCGCCACAGCAGGGTGAAAGTACGCACGAACAACCAGAAGGTCGTGACAAAAACTTCACACCCAGGTACATCATCTCATATATAGCCAACTGACCATAATCAACTGACCTGTTGCAGCGCACAGGCATCCCCAGCTCTCCATGCAGCAAGAAGCACGAAACACCGAGGGCCGCAATATATGGCGGATGGGTACTAATTTTCGCCATCAGGCGGTGCAGTTTGTGAGTGCAGGTCTACAAGAAAATGACGAGAGAAATAAGGAAAGTCTGGACATGCAACGCAAGGAAATAGCAATGACCCCATCCAAACTGCCCCCAGAACAACCCAACGGAGAGTCCATGCGATATCCACACCCTACTATTATTGCACCGGATGGGGAGATTGCCACGGATACTGAGCACATAGACCATATCGCCACCAGAGGGGATAACACCAGCGAGGATGAGATAGTGTTTACTGGACGGCGTCTTAAAACAAAGTACGCTCGAGGAGACAGAAACCGATCTCCGATATCAAGTCCATCCACGCAGCACAACGCTGGGAGCTTCGCTCGTCGAAAAGAGCATGAAAACCCCGACTATCGTAGAGGACACGAATCTAGCCCGCAGATTCACGGCTCAACACAGCCTTGGCTACCGCATCACAGCCACAGAATACCGACACAATCATGTCCCACAACAGAAAACGCGTTGGGAGACCTACTGCATGCCACAGAATCCACATTGCCGGAGAGAATCGAGCGAAAACAACCGCGTGCCACTGATGAGACTTTTGATTTTATACCCTTCAAGTCCAGACGTGCATCAATTAGGGAGCAATATTCGAGACTTCTCGATGATGAAGAAAATGACATATTGGCCGACTACATAGCGAACATTGACGATGACTACGGAGACTACTGTCAGTGGACTGAATTATGTCGCAGTACAAGCACGGAGTCCGACAACGGTCAAATGGACAGATCGGCGAATACACTTGTCTCTGCCGAACTGGCCAATGCCAACTGTTGCGGCCCACCAAACAATGGGGAGGGAATACTTCCATGCGAACGCGGCCAAATGTTGGCTGAATGTGAAGATGAGAGTGACCCTGATCTGTCTTCCGGAGGTATGCCCAGTCAACTGCATCCAAATACTTATCTTATGCTGAAGCCACCAGGGTTTACTGCTAAATCGAATGGATTTGCGGTGCTTTGCACAAGTTTGACGGACAAACATAGCTCCACCAGCTCTTCCGAATGCAGTGACAACGAAACGAAGGGAATCGGCAAGCACTCGGAGATCGAGACAGAGAGCAGTTGTCGGTCTCGACCGCACCGTAACCGCAGCAAAGCAAAGGGAAATCATTTCGCTTCGGCAACGGCTTTTGCTGATGCGTTGGAATCGGACCCATTTTATGGATTCGATATAATGGACTTCAACAGACCCAGCCTACGGAACAAAAGAAAAGGGAAGCAGCGTGCTTTTGATATGTCATTATCCGATAGCGAGTTGGAACTACAATTGGAACGGGCGTGGCGAAATGACAGAGAGAAGAAGAAAACAAGGAAGCAGAAGAGAGAAGAGCTTCGTGCTGGAGGCCTGCTCGTTCGGAATGCAAATGCGCCTGATCTCAGAGCGAAGTATTCGAGTGGCTTCGATGTCGATGATCTGAGATCGGAAATGCGTAGTTTCTTGCTATCATCGAAAGAAAGGTACGAGTTTTCCTGCAGCCGGTATTGAAAGTTTTAAAACCAGAGTGCTGAATCCCGGACTTTGTTCAGCTTATCTCTTCCGCCCATGTCTAAACATTACAGGAAGGTTGTACATGACATGGCAGGCGCACTGTCACTCAAATCACAGTCCCGCGGCAAAGGCTCGTCCAGATTTCCCATGCTGTACAAGACTTCCCGCACCCCAAAGCATACACAGAAAACGATCGCACAGGTGGAAAAATTATTATCGAAATCTCAATTCTCTCACCGTGGCCCCAAGGCACGGTCCCAGAACAACAAGAAACTGGCGAAGGCTTCTGGTGGTCGCCCTACATCATCTGTCAGCTATATGGAAGGCGACGTCGTTGGAGCATCAGCACCAGAAATTGGAGCGGAAAATAAGGGAAGAGCTATGCTTGAAAGGATGGGATGGAGTTTGGGGACTCCGCTCGGTGCCATAAACAACAAAGGCATTCTCTTACCTGTTGCGCACGTCGTGAAGAATTCTAAGGCTGGCCTAGGGTAGATAGTTTCGAGGGATCTTACAATCCCTAGTTGCATCTTCTACGGTTGTCTTTCTCAAGGCTAAGTGGTGGACCTGCAATGATGATAGAGATTCCAACACTCAACAAGCCTGTCGCACTTCCAAGCCTCGTTTCATGGGACGAGGAATGGCACGAACCTGGGAAGTGTCCCTGCTAGAATGCCTTATGATAAAACAAGGCAATTATTGTATTTACGACTATGATTACCCGCAGAACCATGATGTTTGAGACATCTACGTCCACATCACTCCTTTCACTACGACACGGATGAGTGAACGGGTGGATAAAGATCAATAACAGTCACCTATGTCTTAAAAGGGCTTGTTCAAATGCTAGTCTTTGCTACCTTATTGGCGGCTGGGCATGGTCATACTTCCTCAAGTGTGCAAAAAGCTGAGTTTTGGATGGAAATGCAGCGTTGCAGGTGGTACAAATCAATCCGGGAGAGCGACCCAGAGCCTGCTGAGCCGCCTTTCTAGCGCGTTTCTGTTTGGCTTTGCCAGTCTTTTTGATTTCAGTCGATTGACTCTGACCTAAGGCGGAGGCTGACAATTGTTGAGATAGTAAATCAACAGCATCATCTACCCTCTCGGAGACATCGTCCGAGCCTGTGGGATTGAGAATGGTTGCGCTCGATTCGTGGCTAGCATGTGTCACAGGAAATAAGGTATCAGCTTCCGTGAATTCGCGACCACTTTCCTCTTGCGTGTCTTCCATGATGGGTGCAATGTTTTGATCAGCATCAGCATTGCGTCCACTTTGGACCTTACCACTCTCTTCATGCCTGAAGGAGGAAGCTGCTGAGTCGTCGTTGCATCGCTCTAGCTGAGCATGGTCGCTGTACGACGCCATATACTGGTCAAGATTGAGGGACTCATTTTCTGCTCTCATCTCCCAGCGAAGCTGTTTGACGGCCTTGACGTGTTTCTTGCTACGTTCATGTGCGTTGAATTGATTCAGGCTCTTGAAAGCCTTCCGGCAGATGATGCACTCGAACTGCTCAAGTTCAGATCCCGAATCATCCGGATTCTCTTCCTCAGCCTCCTCTGAC